ACCCAAACCCCCAAAAACCAACATAAAAAGGACGACAGCCACCGCAGTTTGCCGTTGCAGCTAGGATCCTTACCCGAGCTGGCCAATGCTGCAGTAGTTAAATCTGGTGGTGCAGTCAAAGCAGCACCGGCTATTGCCGCCACGCTGGTAACACGACAGCACGACCGATGCCAAAAATGCACTCTCTGCATGACTTCTCCACATATAGGACTAGTAACACGCAATAATTAAGCATTGCTTTATATATTTTAGCTTAATAATGATGACAGTAAAAAAAAGACAAAAAAATTAGTTTTTTATTATGATTAGAGAAAGCACAATATTACCATATTCAAAGACTGATTATACAGAAATAATCCGCAAACGGGTTTCGCAGAAAGTCTTGGATTGATGTACTACACTGACTGCACAAGAAGTCAGTTCATAGTGGACAGAGCTACTTCTACGCTCTCTGCCCCCTCTTTCCCATGTTTTAAAACCAAAAACTGAGATATTCCTACAAGCATTCTGATCAGCATAATTACAAGTTACCTGAGTTTATGTTCTTAACTTTATTCTACGCTGTCAGAAAATCAGGGCCTGGCTTACACAGCAATTATGAACACAAAATATATACCAAAAGCAGAGGTAATAAAACTTGTACTCTAGAGCATTTGTTTTCCCCTCTCCTCATCACCAGTCTCATAAGGAAACGAGACAGATGCAAATTCTTCTAAGTAAAGAAAAAAAGTCACCTCCTCCAGCAATCTGGTATGAACACACAGGTTGAAAATTCAAGATTAGCACCCCTAAAATATTAACAGTGGCAGACAGGCATTACACTGGATAGCACTACGCCTTATTTTCTCTCCTCCCTTATCTGCTGGATTTCAAAACCAGCATCAGAAAACCGAACACATTCTGCTCAGGTTGGCATGAGCCAGGAAGACAAACACAACCTGACAAATAGGAAGCAGCATGGGGCTCGGGATATCATCCAAAGGTCGTAGTTGTGCTGATGCAGCGAAAATGAGTTTGAGTCACAGCGGTTTCTCCTGTGTGAGGGTTTCTGCATGGGGTTCTGGTTATTCCACTAGCACCAGCCGTGGATGGCTCCCATCTGGATGCAGAGCTTCACATGCACGGAGGGTCCCTGCGGACACTTCCGGAGCCAGAGACCATCCCTGCTCTTCTACCCTCCACCCAGGTCGGTTTAAAGCAGAGCTTGAACTACTCTACCAGGGCAAGAAAGTCTCGCAGCACCAATATTAAAGCTCTCCTGCAGCCTCTCCCTCCTGACCCAGCTGTCCAGAGCAGGGGTGGTTATTGCCCAGACACGCGGACGGTGACCGGGACAAGGCATGCCGACACGCTGCGAACACAGGTTCACACCTTACAGCAGCCGCAACCTCTGTAAGCGCTCCTCTGTGGCACTAATTGGACCAGCACAAGTTTTTCTTTCAGAAATATCCTCCCCTCAACTGAAAGGATCAAACACGGTACAGAAAACCTCACCTAAACCAAATGTCATGCACCCCATTTAATTTTCACCTATGTTAAATAATGTAATTGTCCCGGAAACGGTTCTGCAGCAATCCAGAGAGCCAGCACTAGCATACAAGCTGTCCTCCAAAGAGAAGTGAAGCACAGTGGGTATGCTAGGGCAGCATGCAGCGGCAGTAAATAACCCTGAGGTTGCTTTGTTCCTTCATAAAATAAATGATTAATAGCTCAGTATAGTCAGTCTGCTATTCAAGGCTTGCTGAAAACTTTTTGATCAGTTTGATTCATTAACCTTTAAAACTGCCTCTAAAAGAGGCTTAAAATCTGAAGGAGAAGCATTGTTTTAAAAAGTACACTTCAATTTTATCCAGAAATCCTAATTTTTGATGAACTGAGCTAAGCATTGAGACACTCAGCTCCTCTGTAGAGGCACTCAGCACCTCACAGTCAGGTGCCGAGGAAGAAATAACAAGGTAAAATAAAGTTGATGTAGGCAAACAAAAGCATGCTCATCTTTACATTCAAAACCAATCAGGACTGGGGGGAGAAAATGGCACTTCTTTGTGATTCTTAAGCATTTGGCCGATTCGCAGGTGGCTTCCCAACTGTCTCTTTATTTCTTCTGGTTTTAATGCTAATAAAAAAGGAACACAAACAGGGGACTCAATTCCCCACACAATGCGCTGGGGGAGGGCAGGGAGTGTAACTTATGTATCTGAAAAGTCTGACTCAGACAAATTACTTCTAGTTCACTTCCTTACTACACGCCAGCATTGTTTCAACACCTCAGGAGCATAAGGGGGTTCATCCCCAGCTATCTGGTCACAGAAACAGCAATGCGGACTAATGCCGTTAAAGAGCTGTTCCAATTACTTCCCTGGGGAAAGAAGTGACTTGCAGCTTAACGTCCTGCCCCAACGCAGCAGGAAAACCAACCGTCCGCAAATGCCCGGCTAGTGGCTGCTGCTATACGGGACCCGCTCCTGGGATGAGCTGCAGTTTGTCTTCCAGGGATGGCAGCTGGTTCCTGGATCAGAAGTACAGATGGTTGGAGGCTCAGGCACGGTTTGCTTTGAAAGTGAGGTTGGTGACAGATTCCCAAAAGAAAAAGGGCGTTTGGAACCAAGGACGACTGATGGCCGCTGCTGCCAGGTTGATACTAAAACTTGCTACTGGCTCATTTTTGCCATCTAGAGAGGACAGTGATACTACAGTAGTGTAAAAAGGACAGGACAGGTCGCTTGTCCTTCGCAAGGCCAGAGAAGCGCTGCACAAGCAGCCACATGGCTGCAGTGGCAGAGCTACTATCAGAAGAAAATGATTTAACCTCCAAGGGAATCACAAGCCTTTCTCAGAGAAAGGAATGCCAGCTGTAAGTTAAAAAGTTTAAAAACTTCTTATAGACACACGGCTCACACAAACAGCCTGCACCACCTTTTGCTACAATAATTATACATGGGCAAGGAGTTGCAAGTCTAATAGTTCTAGGGAGAAATTCTCGAGCCATGGCTGTCAGGTTCTGGAAGGCTTTTCTGAAATCCCATCAAAGCTTGTAGGAATTCAGCAATATTAGCAGAATATTAACATTCTTATTTGGAACAACATTGAGGCTTCTGACATAAAAATAAGAGTGCTGCACTTGTGCTGCTTCAGATATCCAGCAGCGGTACAAATAAAGACATGATGTTTATGAAGAAATCAGACCTCACCTGTAGCTTCAGTGCTTTTTTTCTGTACTTGAATCTTTACACTTATCTAGACCAAACAAAATATTTAACTACAAAGAAACAAAACCAATTCCTAACTTCTGCAGCTTTCCTGGGGTCTATCTGATTAAATAGTGATTGATGTTCAAATTCAAGTATTCATTACAGACTGTAATAGCAGGTGAAGTTGAAAGCTGAAGGCACCCTGGACAGTTATTAATGCAAAGCAGCATCTTGTCTTTTGGGCACCAAAGATGGGTATGTCACGGATTTGCGTGGGATAAAGAAGAAGCAGCTTCCATGTCTACACTGTAAGAGATGAACGGCGTGAGACTTGGCGTTAGATTCAGTTCAAGAGCCAGAAGACTGTTCCTGCTCCACCTGAGCCACTCAGGACACGGTCCAATCCCAAACATGACAGCACCAGGCAGACTACGGGGAGGGGAACATTTCACTCTCCCTCTTGCTGACACAGAGAGTGGAAAAGCAAAGAGCAAAGCAACGCTCAGAATACGGTAACAGTAATAAAAGAGCTTAGGAAGACAAGGAAAAATGACTTAAGAAAAAATTGGTAATTTTTGTTCTACTCAGAAGCTACCTGAACTTAAATGTACAGCTTCTGTCATACTATTAAATACGAGAAATTGCTAGAGCCTGGAGCGTAAAGAGACTGCAAGAGACGCTGAAGAGCAGCATCAGTAGGATTATTAAATGACACAGTCAGGTCAAGACGGAAAAGCAGATGGGTACAGGGAGAGCAAACAAAGCCAAAAGGAAAGGGTTAGCGCAGGGAACTTAATGACTGTCTTGCGAATATCACCACATAAACCCAGTGTGTCAGGAATTATTTTAATGTACATCATTAAGTGAATGGCATAGTGTTATATGACAGTGTAAGTGCTTTGCACTAGTAACAGTTTAATTTTATTAATTTTAAACCAGTTTTCGTTCTTTCTCAGCTATCTAGTCAGTCTTCTGTTAAAGCCCAGCACGTGCTGCGCTATTCCTGGGGCTTAGCAGCGTATTTTTAAGAGTACGATTCACTTGTATGTTCATCCATGGCCTCAACCTGGCTCAACAACAAGCCCACATAGACTACCAGTATATTCAAGATTCTGGACCTAAGAGAAACTCGTGTCACCAAAATAAAAGTGCTTGTTAAAAGTGTTGCTCACTTCTATGTATACAGTACCCAGCGTGATATCTGAGGGCGTGCAACATGCCTCAGCCTGTTTTCAAAGGAGTCTAAGTTGCATAACTGTTTTTGGTATTTAGTTCAAGCAGCTTTTAAAAACTTTACAAATAAGTTTAAAATAATTACAGGGTATTAATTAGTGCACTCTGCAGAGGGACAGATTCAGCCCAAGTGCATGAAAGAAACCGAGTAAAAATATTCCTACCAAGCCTGATTTACCGGGCTTCTACCAGACAATCTCAACAGTTTTATTCTCAAACATCTTATTGTCTCCCTGAGGGAAAACTGCAGAGAAACTCTCTTAAGGAGCACACAACTGTCCTTGTAATAGTTTAAACAAGATTTCCAGTCGTCCACAGAAATCAAGAAAAATATGTCCCTGCTTTCAGACCTGAGCAGGTCCCTCAGTCCCATCACACTACGGTGAGCACAGCAGCACAGAAAAACGCTTCTGTCTTGTGAGCATTCAGACAATCCCTAGAACATTTTTTTTTCATGATTAGACGTACTCCCCACTTACTGTCAGGCTGTCATTTTATATTTAGTTCCTTTAAAAAATAAAACCACATACTTCTAGGGAAAATAAGGCCTCTTTTAAAAAAAAGACTTATTCTAACTCAAGATTCCCCCCAGGCATTTTACGCTCACTGAGGACTCCAACAAGTTTCTGTGGGGTGTTTACTTGCTCTAAACAAAGCCAAGAGAAGACTAATCAGAGCATTTTTGGCCAGGACACAAGAAGCAACCGTACTTGATAGATGTTAATTTAAAAAAATCATCGGTCAAGAGCAACAGAATCACCTTTTCCCTTAGCTGCTGGAAGGTGTTCCCATTCAAAGGCGTTTTACTTGCTGTCTGTCCTTCTGTTATAAATGAGAAAGTCAGAAATGTCATGCCATACGTTACTGTCATCATACAGGTAGGTCATGGAGGACTGCAGAGAAGGCTGCAGGGTTTGCCGGTGGTATTCAAAGAGCCAGAGAACTGTTCCCCATATCAGAGCAGCGACAAGTGGAAAGGGATCCTGCTTTGGCTGTGGGACATAGCCCTTTTCCACTGCCAGCCGAGACAAGCCGAACAGGATACGAGACAGCAGGTACATAATAATCTGCACAAAGAGAAAACCCAAAGAACATTAGGTAAATAACCTGAGCAGATACACTAGGCAGGTTAAACGATTTAGAAGTGATCAGCTAGGCAAGAGGAGTGGAAGCAATTTACCCGGCTTCACAGCAAACAGGCTGTAGGCTCACATATCAAGCAGTCTTTATAACTGGAGATGTTTGTGCCTTCCCTATGTCCTCAAAGTCCTACTTCTCTGCTGGTGCTCTAATTTAGTAATCAACAAGTTACACTTGATGCAACATAGCTTTGCAGTTGCATAACTTTCATCTTTGCTCAATTAATGCTACCTCAGATGCTGCTGCTGACAGAATAGTCACGGAGCAGCCCTGCTAACCTGCCAAGCTGATACAAACTGAGTAGTCTGGACACATCCTAAAACCAGACTGAAAGTACGCTCTTGCAGGGGATTGCATAAGTAAAACACTTTTCATTAATGTGCATCTGTTCTATTGACTGATTAATCTGTGACTGAGTGCTAACAACCAAACTTCTCCCAAGCTGCTTTTTCAGTTTAACCGGTTTAGCTAAGCGTAACTCGGTAACTGATTGTGCCTCACACTCAACGTCCAAGCTACAGGGTTTGGGCCTGCAAGTGGGCAGACTAGGAGCGCACGCAGCAGTTACCACAGCTGGGGTAACCCAACGGCTTCGGATTGCGTGACTGCCTGCCTTCCTAGGTATACAAGTGCAGCTCTGGAAGTAAACTTGGGCTTTTAGCCCTCAAACTGCACACACCGTTCACAGAGGCACACAATTTGAGCGCAGCGCAGCCAAAACCAGAACTTGTGCAAAGAGAAATATAATAAAAGAGAAACGGTACGTTGTAAGAAGCACCAGAAACGTGCCAGGCTATACCAACTCCTGGCACATGGTCATCCATCTGCTGGGTTTTTTTTTGTCAAGGAAACTTTCAACAAATGCATTTACCTGGCTGTTGATGGCATTGTTCTCACCGAACACTAGCCAACCTCCAATGCAGGCTGCAAAGAAAGAATGAAATGGAATTTTTTTCCCCTGTAGTTGGGACTGCAACGCCATCAGCCCCTTGTAGGTGAACACAAAATACGCCAAGTTCCGGGAATGAGTGTACGTAGCCTGAGCAATCGATTTCAATTTCTCTCTTAAACTGAAGAAAAGAAACAGACAATTAGAAGAGCAAGAAGGCAGGACCACTGACTCAGCCTGGACACTATGCCCCTCTGGCCGACCCGTCTAGACTGACAGCTCGGCTACCCCGCAGAACATCAACTTTGTGAGGGAGGAGAAATCCCTTCACCCCCGGCTCGCTCATCAGAACACAGTCAACATCTCTCCTTAGACTGTGGACTGTGCTTTTGTCTAATTCTATGAATAGTCAAGGAGCTTTTTATTTTTTTGATTGTTTCTTATTTTTTTGCCTAAGTGCAAACCCCTGGCATAAGCAGGGAGAGCCACAAGGTGCACTGCTACAGCTTGGCTTCCCGTATTTGAATGGAGAGCAGAGCGCAGCAGTTTGCATCTGCTAATTTCTCCCCTGCTCACTGGTTCTCATCAACCATTGCACAAGTGGCTGACCCAACGGGTATGTAGATCTGTGTAGGTGTGTGCATACGAGTTGTCCCATGTCGCTATCCGAACGACGGGCTATGACCATGGCTCACACACCTGTCTGCTTTTTAAGCCCTCTGGAAACATGAAAGATTGAACGCTTGAACGAAAGCATTCTGAGCAATAACAAACGCAGAACTAGGGTTCATACCTTCCACTCTTGAACAGGAAAGTCATCACCAGGGCATGTGGGGCACGAATTTTTGCTCCATAACTGCAAAAGCGAATAGGTGTTTCAGACTTTTTGTATTACACTATCAAATGACTGTATCCCTATTATGCTACTTAAGCAACTACATCCTACTCTTAAGCCAGCCCAGGGGCAGCAGCGGCCGCCCAAACCAGGAGCCCAGGCCACAGCCTTACGAGAAGGTGCACCCCAATAAGCCAGGCCCAAAGGGGACGCCAAAACCGGTTAAAACCCTCTTAGCGGCGAGAGGCACGGAAAGGCCTCTCCCGAACCTCTACC